TCAAAATGGACCATGAAACTGTATTGGGTCCTTCTACTTTAAACTTACCTCTGGGAATTAAGTTTTATGCTTTCATATAGCTATGTAATCATAATAATCCATTCCCTGACATGAGACCTACGTAATTAACTAATACCAATCAGGAAGGAGGTGGCGTTTTAATATTCTCTTCTTGCTGAAGTACCAAGGGGTATTTTTCCACTTATGCCTCCTTCCTTTCATGCCAAGAAGTATCCCACTTCCTCCTACACTGGTCATCCTGACAAGCTTTTATTTTTTGTGCCTGTCCTCAGTAATCTGCCTTAGATCCTTCTTTTGAAGCACTCTTTGTTTTCTTCGGTCATTTATTTGATTAAACTTCTAGCCTCCTATCTCAGTCAGTCTGGGTATGAGAATAACCTCTCCTCAAAGCATAAACCCGCTTCTTAACCTTCACCTAACCTTCATGACCCTTCCTTCACAAAGCCAACCCTTTATCTATCGGAATGAAAGAAATGTATTAAAATAACAGGTTACACAAGTAATCAGGGGAAAATGGCATCTGGCTTTGAAATAAATGTAGCTTTAGGCAAGACTTACTTTATGACTTTACTTAAGCCAACACTAGTAAGACTTTTCTTTTATAATGGTGAATATCAGCCTCACTTCTAAAAGCCGATGAAGCTATGACTTTAAAGACAATCATGTGTTTTGTTTCCTATGAAGCCTTTTTAACAGGTTCAATCTGCTGAAATATGTCATGAAACTTGTTTTCTATTATCCTTGGTTATCTTTGGGGGGATTTTAATCCCAGAGAGATTTCCCTGTATTAGCCTACTTCTCAAGTATCTTCTGTTTGAGAACTCAACACATTTAAAAGGCACTGAACTATCCAATGAAATTATTAGTCCAGGTTAGACACAAAGGAAACTGTCAGAGATTCCAGGAACACATGAGACTCTAGGATAAAGTACACTGATAAATTACAACAAAGTATATTTGGTAGAACCTTATGATTGGTTGAAAATACAAAAAGCTTAATAACGGACAGTTATATAAACTGGCTTCTTCAATATATTAAGCCCATATAATGAAAATTCTATGAAATTCAATTTCCTAATTCAGGCAGTTACAGAGAAAACCGTATTTTAAAACCCCAAGATCATTCCTGCCCTTCTCTTAACTCTAGCCAATGTGCTCCAAGCTTCTCAGACCTACTCTTTTTCTTAAGGGGGAGGGGAACATGGGTTTACATCTAGGGCCTCACCTAACTCCACCCAGACCTACTCAAACTAGCTGACCTCAGCCTCCTCTTTTCCATTCCACAAACAAGTTCTGAGTGTGTGAGAAGGGGGGGAGGGGGACTAGGCTACTAGGGTCTTCCTTTTTGGCCCCTTCTCAATTACTATAACTAAGCCTTTGACCAGACAGACCATGGCTTCTCTGGTTAATCTCATATTAACATTTTGATTTTATAGGTACTCAATTACATTCACCAAACTGAACCAAAGGGCAAGAACTTCCAAACTGAACAGAGTAGAGGAGGGGGTGATTGTGTACCTTGTTCCTAGCCCTGTCCATTATAATTTACCATCTGAAACACTCAAGCAAAATCAACATAATTTTAAGACACATAGTTCACTTGAGTTGCTGACATACCAGAGATAAAAACAAGACAAAACAAAAAACTGTAAATATCATTACCAACAGTTTACACTTTTTAAACATCAACTTATTCACTAATTACTAAAACTCTGAACTTATTCCTAATTTTCTCTCCATGTGGAACTCTGATAAACACAAATTACTGCACCTAAAAACTAATTCAAACTGCAGTTAATTAGCCTGAATTTGTACATAAGAGGGTAAATGTTAACAAAAAACAACTTCCCACATAGTCCTCAAACACAGTAATTCAACTTTATTTTTAAAACAAAGACAAAACCCTTTTGCAGTGCTAATCACAGTTTGACTAAAACACACAGCTCCACAAATACTTCAGTTTTCAACTTATTTCTCCAAGCTACTGGCCTTCATCAAATACAGGATTCTACAAATCTTAATTACAGTCTCCCAAACTCTGCCAATACATGTGATTGTCAAGGAATTAAAAAGTATTAACTGTTAGGCCATTTTTTTTCCCTTCTCCTTAGGTCTTTTGAGGAAGCAGTTGTCAATGTACCAACCACAGAGTAGTCACAGAGTGGTGGCTGAGGAGGCATTTCCCCTGACAGTCTATTTCCCAAATGTTTAGAAAATTACACTTAGACTGACTACACTGACAGTCTCTCTCTCTCTCTCTCTCTCTCTCTCTCTCTCTCTCTCTCTCTCTCTCTCTCTCTCTCTCACACACACACACACACAGAGAGAGAGAGAGAGAGAGAGAGAGAGAGACAGAGAGACAGAGAGACAGAGAGACAGAGAGACAGAGAGAGACAAGAAACATACCTGGTCATTTTCAAAACAGGTTTGATGGCTTTGCTTCACTTGTAAGAGCAGAGTATTATAATCTTTTAAAGCAAAGTGGCAGCCAGAGCACTGGGTAAATAAAATCTTCAGAGGTTTTAAAACCCTCATCTTAACTCACTTCCCCTTGGTTCAAGGGGACGGCACAGCCAACCCCACAGCAAATGAGATTATGCAACAGGTTTTTCCTCTCTAATCACGGGCTGATTAGAGGTGTGCGTTCTCCAAACAATGAGACACCCACGACTTCAAAACACCAAGGACCTTTGCAACAGACGTTTAAGAAAGTTCTTTCGAATTTTGCAGTAGCCATTCATTTTAAGATCTCCCTGTACTTTCCCCAAGTTTATTATCAGCTTTCAGGAGGAAACGAAGCCAGCGCCCGCTCTTAAAGAGTTTGCGTATACGGCCCCCTCGGTGCTGCTTCCCACAAGAAACTACACGCTGCACAGACCGCCCGTTGTCCCCCTCCCCGTTTTTGTTTTGTTGTTGTTCTTTAACTTTTCACATCTTACAGCTACTGTAAATAAAGAAGTCACCGTTTTCCCCCAGCAGGGTGACGGGCGTCCCAGGTTGAAACCTGAGGTTCGGGGGTGGGATTTTATGGCGGGGTGGGGGGTGAGTTTGAGGAAGCGCCACCGTCACTCCCCAGGTGGCCTCGCTGCCTGCACCCAAGGTGAGTCTGGGATCATGGGAACGGTCAGGCCGGGGCCCCGCTTGGCAGGCGCGTTGTGTAACAGTCTGGAAGTGAGCAGCTTCGCCCGCCCAGGTGCCCGCGCCCCGCGCCCGGGAGCTCGCTCTGCGGGGACCCCGAGCGCCCGTGCGCCCCCGCGGCTCGGGCCGACCCCCAGCGCGGCCTACACACCCCCCCGCCGCCCACGCTCGGGGCTCCGGGCCGCCGCGAGCCGCCGGCCCCCGGGGAGAGCGCGCGGCGGCCGGCACGAGGTGCGGACCGGACGCGCCTCCCAGCCGGCCCGCGGCCCGCCGCGCACACTTACTTGAGGGGCCGCGGGGCTCCAGGCTCGCTCGGAGGGGAGCGAGCGTTGTCACGGCGTCGCCCCGCCGTCGCTCGCTCGCTCGCGCGTCCTCCTCGCCGCCGCGGCTTCAAGTCTGAGGGGTGGGCGGAGAGCGTAGCGAGAGCCCGGGCGATTGCAAGTTTTCTTCACTTTCTCTTCCACCGCCCCCCGAGAAGGAAAGAAGGGGGGAAAAATGTCGACAGGGATGAAGAAGTTGAGGGAGGCAAAGTTGGGGGTCCGCGCGGGAAAAGCGGGGAGGGGGGAGAGTAAATGGTGGAAGATGGGATGAAAGCCCCCCCGACGGTGATACCCACAGGAGGGGACCGGGGGGGCAGGGTGGGGGGTTGGGGAGAGAGAAAGAGTCGCTGGTCAGGAAACTTCAAGCGCGGATGAGGTCATCGGTTTAAAAATAAAGAGATGTCGTCACTTGAAACCAATCCCAGTGAATGAACTCAGCGGAGCCCGGGGGGAAAGGAGGAGACAGGCGAGGGCAGGGCGGGGGGCGGGGGCGCCGGGCGGGGCCGCGCGTCGCCCGCCCCTCAGCGCTCGTCCCCGCGAGCCGGCCGCTCGGGAGGCTGCGGGAGGAGGGCGCGGGTCACGTTCCCGAGCGAGCGAGCGAGCGAGCGAGCGAGCTGCTCACCGGCCGGTTCCTCAGGCACCGCCGGGGGGAAGAGCCCGGCGCCGCGCACGCCGCCCGCCCGCCCGCGCGCCTCGTCGCTCCGGGTTCGCGGCCCTAGAGCGCGGGTCCCTAGCCCGCCCGCCCGCCCTCGGGCAGAGGAGGCTCCCCCAAAACCCCCGCGCTCGTGAAACGAAATCACGGCCGTCTGAGACTGGGGCGGTCGCTTTGTGAGAAGGTTCTGGAATCCAAACTCCAGCGCTCTTCTCTTGGGACGGAAGTCACAGGTACTTTAAGGAAAATTGCACACGTGTTGTCAGGCATGCACCTATGTCTTCGCCCTAGAAAGGAAAGACCCTACGCCAGTGCCTCTGTTCACGGTAAATGCAGCCAAGAGTTATTTAAAATCTTGTCGGCGGGCCCTCGAGTTGGCTCGACGAGTAAAGGACTCCCCTTGCGGTGGACAGAACCGCCTTGGAAAGGTGACCTGGGAACACTTTTGCACCCCACCCCATCCACAAATATGAAATGTAATAAAAATTTGAAAGGTGTTTAGGGGCGGCTGAGAGCACCGGCTGCTCGGTTCCTAGCACCCACGCGGCAGCTCCCAACCGTCTGTAACTCCGGTTCCAGGGGATCCGATGCCCTCTACTGATCTCCGGGGACACCGGGCAGGCACGTGGTGCACAGACGCGTGCAGGCAAAGCACCCACACACATATTTCCCCCATCCGTACTGCGGCGGCGTCGCGAAGTCACAGCAGAGTCCGCTTTCTCTCGGAGACGCAGGTCCTAGCTGATTTAACTCCGAGTCTCTCTTGCTGCCCACTTCAAAGTAGCTTTGTTTTCAGACACTACATACTTTGGAAAGCTAGAGACCCGAGGTGGCGACAACCCAGGACTCTCAGTCGCTGGGTAAGACAATCGAAGCTTTATTCCAGGGTTCTTTGAGCATTTGCGCATGAAGCTGCTGCTTCTAAGAAACACGTGGGTATCACATAACAAAGATGAAATAGATTGATGATGGAAAAGCACACTTGGGGCGGACTGTCCCCTGAGCCAGATTCCTATACAGGAAGAATTTACCCCCTCGAAACTTGCCATTTGTAGTGTGCTCAAGTAGGGGCTCTGGACCTTCAAGGCAGTATGTTGAGGTACATCTGTGTGGACACTGCCTAGGGGGCCTTTTTAATTGGCGGAAGAACTTAGGAGCAAGTTTGGAGTGGGTTAGAAAGATTATACAGCTCTGTTTGCACGCTTCTGCCCTTAAACCCTGCAACAAAGGTGCGTCCGTTATGACTGGCAATTATCAATCGTTTAAGGTAAACATTCTGGAGCGTGCCTCCGGGTATTTCCAGTTCATCTTCCAGAGGAAGAAAAGCAGCCCGTTTGGAGGCGAGGTGTCGCGGCAGAAGACTCCAAGCTGTACGGGCAGTTTGGGGCAGGGGGGTGCCCTGGACCTCTGGCAGGATTGCCTGGAGGGGGGAGTGTCCGGCGGCTCTCAGGTCCTCTCGTGGCAGGACATGGTACTGCAGCTTCACCGTTAACTGCCTAAAAGCCCGAGTTTAAAAGTTTGGAGGGGAGTAGTTTAAAAGGCTTTGCATCTTCAGCCTCGGTAATCAGAGGTGCTGGGGTTTATTGGAAGGAAGGAACAGAGGTGCGGAGCGTGGCTCTCGCCGCAGAAAAAGTCCATGGTGCATGCGGAAGCTCCAATAGCGCTGCGGTAATTCTCACATCTTAAAAAGTAGTGTCTCTTCCTTCACTCACACAATTAAAGTGTAGTGTCTTCCCTGGATGGGGCGCTGGGAGAGCCATTCTGGGGGCATCTGATGATCCAACCAGGAGATAAGACATGGATTAAGGATAATGGTTAGAAGAGTTCAAAGGTCAGAAGGTGGAGGCGGCATAGACTACATAATGAGATCATTTCTGCAAAATGAAAGTAAAGCCTGGGATGGTGGTGCAGGCCTCCAATCTCAGCAGTCGACTAGAAGAGGCCCCCAGATATCTCAGAGTTGAGGTCCATCCTGGTCTACATATGGAGTTCCAGGCTAGCCACATCAACATGATAATACCCAGTCTTAAATAATAATAATGAATTAATGAAAAAGAGCCTAGAGGGGAAAAAGGAGTTGGAAGATGTAGGAGTGACTTTCCGAGGGTGGGGGTGAGACTGGGTCTCACTGGATGTCCTGTGCTTTGCTCTGTAGACCAGGCTGGCCTTGAATTCACAGAGATCTCCCTGCCTCTGCCTCCCAGGTGGGTGTACCACCATGCCACCGTGCCCAGCTTCTCAGGGACAGTTCAAACCTCCTTAGAAAATAATTATGACTTACTTCGAGATAAAAGACTCAGTGAAAAGACTAAATTTTTGTTTTTGCTTTCTAAGATAGGCTCTCCATGTAGCCTAGGCTGGTCTGGAATTTACTATATAGCCCAGTTTGGTCTCAGACTCATAGCAATCCTCCTGCCTCAGCTGCCTGAGCACTGGGTTATAGGTATGAGCCACCATGCTCTCCGTGAATGGACTATTTTACAGGGCAAATGGAATAAAGGAAGACTTGGGAATTAAGTGAATAATGTGTGTTCGGGTGGCAAAGAAACAGACTCTCCCCATAGTAAGAGACTTGGTTTTTAGCAATTAGATATGGGGTCAAATTAAAGATACTCAGAGGTATATAACAGAAGCACTGCAATGTTAGGATAAACACTAGACCAGCAGAAAAGAAAACCATTGAACAAATTTACTGAGAGTACATTTCTCCTCCCTCACTGGACACACACACACAGAGAGAGAGAGAGACAGACAGACAGACAGACAGACAGACAGAGACAGAGAGAGAGAAAGAGAGAGAGAGAGAGACACAGAGACAGAGAGACAGAGAGAGAGACAGAGAGAGAAAGAGAGAGAGAGAAAGAGAGAGAGAGAAAGAGAGAGACAGAGAGACAGAGACAGACAGAGAGACAGAGAGAGACAGAGACAGAGAGAGACAGAGAGAGACAGAGACAGACAGAGAGAGACAGAGAGAGACAGACACAGAGAGAGACAGAGAGAGACAGAGAGAGGCAGAGAGAGACAGAGAGAGAGACACACACAGAGAGAGACAGAGACAGAGAGAAAGAGAGAGACACAGAGAGAGAGACAGAGAGAGACACAGAGAGACAGAGAGACAGAGAGAGACAGAGAGAGACAGAGAGAGAGACAGAGAGAGAGAGAGAGACAGAGAGAGGGCGCATGGAAACCTTTTTAACGCCATTATATTACACCAAAGAATATTAACCTCTTAGTTGTTGTTGTACTGAAATCAGAGTATCAAGTAACAGAGACTAACCTCAAACAAAATAACCTTACACCCCTGAGCCTCCTCATCAAAAATATTTAACCTGACTGGAGGGATTTACTGTTTCAGGAATTGGAAGAACCCATACAGTAGTATTTTTAAAGTGTAATGATGATACCATTTCTTCTCCAAAGCAACCTACAAAATTAAAACAATTCCCAACAAAACCCCAGAGGAAGTTAACAAGCTTAAACTAAAACAATGCCCAGCACATAGAGGAGAGTTAGTGATGCATTTCCCAAGGCTGACAACTCAAACTCTTAGGGTACCAGCCAAAGAGGGGCTCCCAGATCTCATAATCCAACAACGGAAAGGAAACAATTTCACTGCAGTACATGTCAGCTTGGTGTAGTTCTTAGCATAAAAGAGGAGCACCAAAATCTTTAGTGGGAATTAAATACAGAGAGCTATAACATATACCTGCTTTGAAAAGGAAAAAGTTGGGGCTAGAGAGAGATGGCTCAGTGCTTGAGAGTACTGTCCCCTGCGTGAAGATGACCTCTGTGATGAATATTGAATCTGTCTTTGGTTTAGCAAGGAGCTGGCAGAGCATGGTTTCGCAGGAGGCAGTGGTGAGATTTCAGTGAGTGAGAAAGAGAAAAGAATGGAAAGAATGAGGCGCCATTCTTTCAAAAGGCTTGAGAAAAAGCAGACTAATATGCACTAAAATATAGGTGTGGAACATTTAAACCCTACTGCCATAATGATCTGCGGACCGCCTACATTTTTCTTGCTCCTGTGGGGTTTTGAATGTGTGTTTGTTTGTTTAAGCTTATTTAAGTAATAGAAGTGTGTCATGATACACCTGTAAAGGTCAGAGAGTGACTTTGCATCTGCAGCTCGGGGCCTACTGGTCAAACTCGGGTGGTCAAGCTTTGGTGGCAAACACCTTTACCTGCCGAGCCACCTCACCAGCCATGGTTTGGGGGTTGTTTTTATTTTGTTTAGTGTTTGAGACATAATCTCATTCTATAGCCCGGGCTAGCCTGGAATTTCATTGATCCTGCTATCTCTGTCTTCAGGGTGCTGGGATTATAGACATGAGCCACCATGACTGGCCTCCCAAACTTTGCTTTCAGAATTATGTAGAATCCAAATTTGGGGTTCTTGTCAAGAGCATTTCTGGCATGTAGAATAAAACAGTAAGAATAAATAAGATTTTTTAAAACATCAGTTGTATTTATATAAGTGCTGGCTGCACATCCTTTCTTTTTTTTCTGTGTTTTTATGATCTCACTTCCCAAGTGCTGTGTACCACAATACCTGGCTTACACTGGGTTTTTAACCCTTATAACAGCCATAAGGGTTAAGTGTTATTTTATTTCCTATGTATTTTCATTTTGTTTATTTATGAGAAGAGGTCTGGCTTTGTAGCCCAGGTTAGCCTCAGACTCACATAACCTGGGCTGGCCTCAAACTTATACATCCTGCTTCAGCTTCCCCAAATGCTGGGATTACAGTCATGTGTCACCACACACACCTTATCTTTATGATTTTACAGTAGGACACATAAGTGGTGACTAAGAAGGTAGCCTTAAGCTCAAGTTTCCCCATGCCACCATTCTGCTGAGAAGATAAATACAGACTGCAAGTTCCAAATAACACTGAAGCAGTATGGCTTCTCCTAGAACACACTTCTGTGAAGGGTTTAACTCAAATGGAAACTGAGAGGCTGGGGTTGGGGAGCCTGCTGAGATGGACCTGTCCCCTGCAGGTCCCCTGGGGACTTGGGGGACATTGAGAAGTAAGTTGACACCAGGCTCCCTGAGTTACTGTGGGGCTTAAACCCTGTACCAAGTACAGCACCAAGTGTGGCACGGAGCAGCAGAGTAACCACCACACTCTGATTCCCTCCGCCTTGGGAAAGCTTCCTCTGGAAACAACCTAGATGCTGACTGAACTGGGGTAGGGTGAGGAAGCTCATTCCAGGAAGAGAAAACAAGTACTGTTGGAGAAATGGAGGGAATGTGTGTGGAAACAGAACATTTGACTTCAATAATGTACAATCTGGAAAAACAGTTGGGAGCTAGATTATATTAGGACCCAGCCAAAGAATATGTAGCTGGAAATGATAGGAATTTTTAATCATAAAGCTATATTTATAATTTTTCACTATAAAACTATACATATATTGTAGAAGTAGGTTATGCACAGTGTGGAGGAGAAATCTTTTTCAGCTGGTCTCACGGTGCTCACCTATAGCTCTGCACTCAGTAGCTGGGCAAGTGGGTTGACATGAGGTGAGGCTAGCCTGAGCTACATACCAAGATTCTTTTCCAAAGGAGGGAGAAGGGATCACCTCATCAATGATTACCTGAGACAAAAAGAGAAAACCTTGTATTGTTACATCTTTTAGAAGTGTGTTCTCTCTCCCCTCCTCCATCTGTATTGAAGCACAATTGACAAATATAAATTATATACATTCAATGTGTACAGTGTCGTGACTTGATAAATTGGAAGTGACTACTATAACCACACATTATTAGCATTTCCTGTCATGATATTTTGCTTTTCTTTTTTTAATTATTTAACATGGTCATAATAAAGTTTACAAACATGTGGAAAATACTATGTAATTTGTGTTTTCTTTTAAGGATTTTTTAAAATGTGTATGAGTATTTGCCTGCATGTCTAAGTAAATACCACGTACGTGACTGATGTCCTCACAGATCAGAAGAGGGTGTTGAATCCCCTGGGACTAGAGATAGGTGTTTGTGAGCTGCCTTTTGGATGCTGGGAACTAAACCTGGGTCCTCTGCAAAAGCAACCAGTGCTATTAACCGCTGAGCCACCTCTTCAGCCCCAAGTAACTTATCTTTTATGCCAAATTTTGTCTCTAAAATGAAACTGCTTATTTGAGATGGTCCTACTACTAATATTAGCTTCCGGAGACTGAAGCAAAGCAGGTTTGAACTAAACATGTATGGACTACAGAAATTTTTATTTTTATTATGTATCTTGTCCTGCAATTTCAACATATATTGTAACATGTTTCTTCTTTTCCTCTTAATTAAATAAGATATTTAATTTCTCTAGAAATAGCCGGGCAGTGGTGGCGCACGCCTTTAATCCCAGCACTCGGGAGGCAGAGGCAGGCGGATCTCTGTGAGTTCGAGGCCGGGCTGGACCGACAGCCTCCAAAACAATACAGAGAAACCCTGTCTCGTAAAAACCAAAAAAATAAAAAATAAATAAAAATATATAGATGTCAGATAGATAGATGATAGATAGATAGATAGATAGATAGATAGATAGATAGATAGATAGAATTAGCTATTACTGTTATTGTAGATGTTCAAGCCAGATGACAAATTAAGAATAATATTTAGGGGCAGGAACTATGACTCAGTAGTAAAGAGTACTTACTGCTCTTTCAGAGGACAGTACCGTGTACGGCCTTTAATTCTAGTTCCAGGATTCTTTTTTTTAAGATTTAATCATTTATTCTGTGTCTAGTGTTCTTCCTGCATGTGTGCCTGCACTGCGTACTAGGAGAGAGCACCAGAACACATTACAGATGGTTGTGAGCCACCATGTGTTTGCTGGGAATTGAACTCAGGACCTCAGAAGACCCCCGCGCATGAGCAGGGTCCTCTTTCATTCAATTTCTTTGAAGGCAGTGGTTCTTAACCTGTGGATCTGGACCCCTCTGGTGGTTGGGCCATCTTTTCACAGGGGTCACCTATGTCCATGGGAAAAAAACAGATATTTACATTATGATTCATAACAGTAGCAAAATTATAGTTAGGAAGTAGCAATGAAAATAATTTTATGGTTGGGGATTACTACAACATGTGGAATTGAATTAAAGGGTCACATCATTAGGAAGGTTGAAAACCACTGTGCTAAGGGCTCCTGATATTTTATTGGTCTACCTGGAAATTATTCGGCTAATTAGTAAAGTGTGTGTGTGTGTGTGTGTGTGTATTCCAGTGAGTGTGTACATGTATGATGTTTTTTCATATGATTGTGGAGGCAAGTAGTCAACAATGGTGTCTTCCTCATTGCTCTCCACCCTGTTTGTGGAGACAGGGTCTCTCACTAGACCTGAAATTTACCAAGTCAATTAAACTGGCTGACCAATAACTGCAGGGATCTGCCTGTCACCGCCTCCCTAGTACTGACTTAGAAATTCATATAAGCAGCATTTTTAGTTTGGTTTGGTTTGCTATGTACATCAAGTGTGTGCTCATGCACCCTCCAGTGACATGATTAGTGAACTGAGATCAAAGATTAACTTCCAGGATGGGTTCTCTCTTACCACCATACGTTCCAAAGATTGAGCTCAGCCTGTGCCGCAAGCGCTTGTACCCACTGAATCCTCTCACTGGCTTGCGCCCGTGCTAGAGATCCACACTTGGCTCTTCATTCTTGCAAAGCAAAGCAAGCACTTTCCCAATGTCCCTGGCAGTTAGAAATTTCAATTCACTTTGTAATTTTAAATCTCCTTTCCTCGTCACCTAACATAGTCCACTCACTGCCTAAAGATTAGAACATTAACATTTTGGGAGACTAGTGTTCTAATTCCTACACCCCCCACCCCAAAGAAAATGCCAGAAAAGTTTGACCCTGCTTTGTCCCTCTGCCTTGCAGGTCCTGATTAACTGAATAATGAATGGTCAATTCCAATTTGAAAATTTTTATACTCTTTCATAAGGTTTTCTTTTCTGAAGTAATGTGATTCGGCTTCATGCTGTGGAATAGTCTTTTGTACACTGTGAAGATGTGTCTTTGCCAAGGCGCCTTCTGATTGGTTTAACAAAAAGCTGACTGACCAATAGCTAGGCAGGAATGGGTTAGGCAGGAGAGTCAAACTGAGAGGATGCTGGGAAGAAGGGTGGAGTCTCTGGAGTCTCGAGAGCCAGATGGCAGAGCATGCCATGCTAAAAGAAAAATAGTGTTCAAGGCCTTTAACCCCTCCTTTTCTTTTTGTGGGGGACATGGTAGAGCTCAGATTTAAAAAAAAGTATGGGTTAATTTAAATTGTAAGAGCTACTTAGTAACAAGTCTAAGCTATCAACTGAACATTTATAATTAATAGTAAGTCTCTGGTTGATTATTTGGGAGCCAGCAGGCAGGACAGAGCTGATTAGTGGTCCCAACAAAAACTCTGCCTGCAGCTTCATACCAAAATATTTGCAACCAAACACAATGAATGTTAACTAAGTACAAAGCTGTAAAGAAACAGTGATGCCAGTAGACCTTGTCCAGTGAGGGAAAGATAGGTTTACCATTAGCCACTTATTTTTATAAATGATGATGTTGCTTCTGAAAATAAACTGCCCTACAAATGTACCATGGTCTCCACCATTACAACACTTTAACAGCCCCTCAACAGCAATGTTTTCAGTTCAGCTTCAGTTGATTGATTAATGAGCAGCAGAGCCTGTCCTGAGACAGGTGAAAGATATCAGGTTGCAAGACAGACTGTGTAAATATATCAGAGGTGGGTTTTCTCCCACAAAAAGAAAAGGAGGGGTTAAAGGCCTTGAACACTATTTTAGGAACACCAAGGATTCAGACCCTTGTAGTTAGCAGAGAAGACACTTTGATGCCTTTGGGTTTCACCCTGGAACTCAGTATTTCTATCTTTTGAGTTCCTTTGCTTCGGGTTATATAGATGCACTTAAGACAATGGTAGACCAACCTCCAGTGAAAATGTGTTAGTACTGATCCAGTTTTCTGGTGGCTGGACGGCTGGATCAGCATGAGATCAAGGGGAACTAGCTTGAAAACCCAGGGCAGGGCAATGCTACGCTGCTTTATGTCTTTGGGAAGAAGAGATGGTCAACAAGTATCCAGCAGCTATGGCCCAGCACTATTTATCCTCCTATCTCACTTAATTCCCACAGAAATCCAAACGCATAGTCTTTGCTTTGCTAAGCTCACTTTAACTTGAAGAGTTGAGGCTCCAAACAGGAGCAATAACTCACAATACAAGTGAAGCCCATACATACCTTCTCAGCTGCTCTTGCTTGCTTCCAGCTATAAAATAAGGGACTTGAGTTAGACACTCTCTGAGCTCCTCAAGTTCTAACTTTATGTATGCATGGCCTTTTTGGTCGGGAAGGAAACAGGGAAGACAGGGAAGGGGCTTCAGCATTAGATGGGACCTCTTTCTGTCTCAGCTAGGAAGAGTCTCTGTCCCTGTGAAAGGACCCTACTGCTCTTGGTGCTTCATGCCTGCAGTCCCTGTACTCAGGAGGCTGCAGCAGGAGCATCACCCTTCAATTGAGGCCAGGCTGGGCTACAGAGTGGGTTTTAAGTCAGCCTGGGCTATAGAGTGGGTTTTAAGTCAGCCTGGGCTATAGAGTGAGACCCTGTCTCAAAGCACACATATCCAGGAACATTCACCCAAAGTTAAAAAAAGTCTTTTGATTCCTCTCCTGTCTGTGGACCTTTTTAAAATGAGTGTTTGTTTCATAAAACAAATCAAGCAATGTTTATTGATGGTATTTTATTGTGTCCTCTAGTTGAATTATATTATGAGGCTTTGTCAGGCAGCAAAGAAGTATAGGATATTGTCTGTGTCCTTAGGGAAATTACAGCTACCTTGAAAGACACATTATCATGCAATGCTGAACTGAATGGTCCAGATGGCAGGCACTCCATGAGTGCAGAGAAAAGGGAGGTGGAGGGAGGGAAAAAAACCATGGGAACGGGGCAAAGGGCGCTGTTCACCTTGCACTGTGGGCTAGGCTTCCTTGGCCTTCTTTGTGTTGTGAAATCCCAGTATGAACCTTTCCCATAGTTCAAACATTCTGGGCTTTGCAAGCTGCAGTGCTGTCCTTCATATCACGTCATCTAAATGCCACTTCATCTTTATTGGCACTTACGGGAGGGTAAAACCCCAGTGGTATGCAAACACCGTCATGGTTACTTGCTTCCAGCCATGGGAAGTTTCACGCAGAACCAGTTTCTCAATAGGGCAAATGTTGTGTCAAGGTGTAGGGAGCTTGAGAAACTGTCAGAGGCAAGGCCTGTTGTGGCAAGAACCTGATTTAAATGGGGGCACTTCCTGTTTTTATCAGCAAGGGTCAGTCTCTGGCCCTCCACATGCAGGGTGCCTAGGCCCAAGCACTTCAACCCTTTGACCCAGAGGCTCCTGGCCCCTTCTTATGAAGAGAGGACTTACCCAAGCTATTCTACATCTACTCACTCTCATATGCCAACCCATTGATAAGATGTTAGATATGAAAAATTATTTCAAAACTCTGGACCCCTCCCTTAGAAACATCAAATCCTACCCTAAATATAATATGGGAATCTGATCCCAAAAGATGATGTCACATAAATTAGCCACCATGTTTAGTGTGTGTTCTGAAACAATTATTAGAGTAAAGAATGTTTCCCAAATGATTTGAAGACAAACACACAGCAAGCAGTAGCTGGGGGATCCATCGGAGTATTGCCATCAAGTGCTGAACTGAGAGGAACCAGAGCCCAGTGTGCTGGCTAATGTTGCATTCCTGGCATTTAGGAGGCTGAGGCTGGAGAACAGCAAGTTTGAGGCAATTAGAAAGAAAGAAAGAAAGAAAGAAAGAAAGAAAGAAAGAAAGAAAGAAAGAAAGAAAGAAAGAAAGAAAGAAAGAAAGAAAGAAAGAAAGAGAGGGAAGAGGAGAAGGAGGAGGGAGGGAGGGAGGGAGGGAGGGAGGGAGGGAGGGAGGGAGGGAGGGAGGGAGGGAGGGAGGAAGGGAGGGAAAGGAAAAGAAAAATCAGCAGGGTATTGGTTCAGTAAAGCTAACCTTCAGAGAACCTAGAAGCAATGAGGGAAAGTTTCAGGAGACAAGGGCGAGGATTGGCATCATAGAACCGGTAGAATTTTGACAGTAAGAGACGAGAAATTATGACATTCTAAAATGAAAACCACAGCTGGAGGCAAGAACCACGGAGTGTACATGCATGAAAAATGGAGGCCCGAGCCTGTCTTTGGGAGAGTGATGTGAGGCTGTACTTAACAAGAATTCGTGGGAATGACCATATAAACGAGGCTAATTCAGGGGCAAGGGAGGAAGTATTTGCTTAGCATGAATGAAGCTCTAGGTTCCATCCCAAATCACCACATGAACCAAGCATGGTGTCTTCACGCCTGTAATCCCAGCAACTGGAAGGTGGATGCAGGAGGATCAGAAGTTCAATGTTAATCTTGGCTACAGAGGGGGTTTGAGGCCAGGATGGGCTACATAAGATCTTGTACCAATTTTTTCTGATTAATTAAAAAAAATCACAGTAAACGTAAGTGCTGATTATATTCCAAGCCTAACAACAGCTTAACCTGTTAAAGTTTACAGGTACCAGGCACTATGTTAAGCACTTCACAAATATTAAGTCACCCATCCTCAGTGTAGACCTTTCATATCAGGCTCCGTTTTACAAAGGAAAAAGGTAAGTCCAGAGAGGTCAAGGAATTTGCTCCCGGTCGAATAATTAGTAAATGGAAAAGTCTGGGAGTAAGCCAAGTGAGTCATCCCAAACATGGGTTCTGAGCACAGTGCTAAATTGCCTCCATACATACTATCTCATTAAATCCTCATTAAGCTCTCTGTGACGTTGGCATCATTGTCCTCGTCTGGCAAATAAGGATCCAAGACACCAGGAGTCAACCAGTTACTCAAGGTCACTCTGTTGAATATGGGGCTATGATTTGAAAGCAGCTCTATTTCAAACCCATTAAATTTTCCATTACAGCGTAGCCACCTGGCAGAGGTAGTGCCCAGATAGGATCAAATTGTGGAAAAATTTGACAGCCCAAGAAGAGCAAGAAGCCCTGACAGGAATAGGGAAGAGCATCAGGGTTTGAACAGGCCTGCTGAGGATCAGTCTAGGACTAGCCTCAGCCGGTCACAGGAAATGGACTGAGGGAAAGGGCAGACAAGATTAGGTGACATCGCAGATGCTAAGTACAGAGAAACGGGCAAGGGAGAGGCAAAGGCAGAGGCAACAAAATGGGTCACGGGAAATCGAATGAGGGAAGCGTAGATGCAAGGCTAGTTGACAGTAGAGGGAGTGTATGTCAAAATGGGCAAGAAAGAGGAACAGAAACAACATCAAAATGGGAAGGAAAACCTGATGTCTTCAGGGCTGACTAGCTGGGAGCAAAAGAGAGATCAGAGAGGACTCTGGATCTAAATAATTCAGTGGGTTACTGACAAAAAAAAATGTTTTTAAACATGCTACAGCCTAGGGATGGAGAGATGGCTTGACGGTTGAGAGCACTGGCTGCTCTTCCAGAGAACCTGGGTTCGATTCCCAGCAGCCACATAACAGCTCACAACTGTCTGTGACTACAGTTCTAGGGGCTCTGACACCCTTGTGCAGACATGAATGCAGACAAAACACCAACACACATAAAATTAAATTTAAAGAGTGTTACAATCTATTTAATAAGGGACTAACCAGTAGGTAGTTCAGGGATTAAGGTTTGGGGTTTGGAGCTCAGGTAAAGAGCAAAAGCTAGAGAGCAGAAGTTGACCAGAAAAAGGCTATCGAATAGCCAGTGAAGAAGCAGCCCAGTAATAATTAGTATGAGGGCCTGAGGTGGCAGCTCATTTTATAGAGGGCTTGCTTAGCATGCAGCAAGCCCTGGGTTCAATCCCTGGCCATGTCAGCTAATGCTCAGAATCCAGGAGCTGGGGAGGTGGTAGCTGTAGGATCAAGAATTCAATGTCAGGGCTGGAGAGATAGCTTCACAGTTAAAAGTTGGCTGTTCTTTCAGAGAACCAGGGGCTGATTGCCACCGGCATGAACATAGCAGCTGACAATCATCTGTAACTCCAATTCCAGGGGACCCAATGTACTTTGCTTGCCTCTGAGGGCACTGGTGCACAGACATACATGAAGGCAAAACATCCATGCATATAATATCAGAAGTTTTTTTTAAACTTTTACAAAAAAAAAAGAATTCAAGATCAATCTTTTCTATATAGCAAGCTTGAGGCCAGCCTGAGTGACATGAGATCCTAAGAGGTAATCAAAACAAACGAACAAAAAGATTGGAATGAGCCAGAAATCAGCACAGGAGGAAAAACACTGCACAACCAGAGATCAAGGTGAGCGGTCAGAGCAAACATGAGAATTAAAGAGACACAGCAGCAAATGACAGCAACGAGAGAGGTGACTGCAGAGTAGCTTCCTGTTGTCTTTGGTAATCTAGGGTATTTCCTAGAGAGGTCAAACCTAGCTTCTTGGACGGCCCAACAGAATAATCAGGAACTTATTCCCACAAGAGAGTGAGTGATGCACATTGTTCCAAGGACAGACGTGAAGTCGTCAGAAGGGTCTCACACTGAACTGTACACCCAAGAAGGCCCAAAGTGGTACCATAATAAGAAACATCCCCCCAAATGTAAGTATCTGTGTGTTCCCTGAAAAATCCCTAAGAACACTTCAATTGTAGCATCTTCTCCATTTGTCCTTTTCATTAAAGACCTTTCCTTCCACTAGGTATGGTTTTTGCACATCTATAATTCCATCCTTTGGGAGGTAGAGGCAGGAGGATAAGGAGTTCCAGGCCGGCCTTGGCTATATATCACGAATGGGGCCAACTTACGCTACATGAGACAAATTTAATTTTTTTTCCTTCCTTACCCAAGTTGGTGGCCATAATGCTGAGAGAGTGAAGTACCTGTGGTTCCCTTGGCCTTGACTTCTTGACTTCAAAGCAAACAGGGCTATCACATGGGAATAACTCACTACAAAGACTCTTCCTTGTGAAACTGGATGTGGTGGTGCTCACCTGTAATCCCCCAACAAGAGACCGAGGCATGAGGAGCAAATGTCTACGACCACAAGGTGAGACCCTGTCTCAAAAGAGAAAATGGACAACAAACGAAACCACTCCTCTTCTGGTATTTCCTCTCCCTGTCCATTTCCTCCCAAAGCATTAAGAACATGACGCCTGGCCAGTGCCCCACCCTCTGTGGCCTCCTTTGCCTGGCAGAATTAAGAAAGTGAGACTAAGTACTTCAGCCAACACCTAGAAGGGACT